TTTAAATAAATAGGGCCAGTAAAAACTTGATTGCAACACCTTTGCTACTGTTCTGACTCCAGTACAGTAGCCACCATAAGGAGATAAGTGACAATGTTCAAGTATAGATTGCATCTCCTTTTCCGGCACACATCTTCTTAAAATATAATCTGGGCATCTCTTAAATAAGTATGGTTCATCCCAAAGATAATACTTACAGTCATGGATGAACCTCTTCCTTTGCTGTGAGTTCTTATGATTTGGCATTATTCCACTCACAAGAAAGTTTGCTATATCAGCGTACCATGGTGCTATAGCATAGTCAATAGCAAATAAATTTTCATCTGGGAATTCATCCTTCACTGGTTCTTCATCAACTTCTGACCTTCCATCGTCTAGTCTTGATAGGTGGTCTACAACTTGGATCTCTGTGCCTTTTTTATCTTTAATCTCCAAATCAAACTCTTGAAGTAAAAGAATCCATCTTATCAATCTTGGCTTTGAGTCCTTTTTGACCACCAAGTAAATAAGATCTAAACTTTTCAAATACAAAAACAACAGCTAAAAGTTCTTTTTCAGTGACTGTATAATTAAATTGTGCCCCTGTAAGCGTTTTGCTAGCATAATAGATAGGATGGAATATCTTATTCTTTCTTTGACCAAGTACTGCACCAATGGCACATTCACTAGCATCACACATGATTTCAAATGGTGAAGTCCAATCGGGTGCAACAATTATGGGTGCTGTAACAAGCTTCTGCTTCAATTCTTCAAATGGTGCCTTGCATTGATCATCAACTGTAAATGGGGTGTTCTCTCCAGCAATCTACATAGAGGTCTGGAAATTTTTGAGAAGTTCTTGATAAACCGCCTATAGAATCCAACATGTCCAAAAAAGCTTCTGATTCCTTTGACATTAACGGGTATGGGCAGCTTCTCAATCGTGTATGCTTTCAAGATTTGGAGGCATTACCTGTTTGGCTTGAGGTTTGTGGTGTTCAGTGACCACAAGAGTTTGAAGTACCTGTTCGACCAGAAGGAGTTGAACATGAGGCAGAGGAGATGGATGGAGTTCATAAAGGACTACGACTTTGAGCTAAGGTATCACCCTGGCAAGGCCAATGTGGTAGCTGATGCTTTGAGTCGGAAATCCAGTAGTTCGTCCAGTTTGCTACTTAGTAACTTCAATGTGGTTGAGAAGTTCCGCCACTTGGCAGTGACCGCTCCGTGTGCGAGCGTACTTCTCGGGTTGGAAGCATCTGATGTTGTGAACGAGCTGCTAGAAAAGATTAAAGAGGCACAAGTTCGGAGAGAGTGTCTGGATTATGTGAAGAACCAAGACGGTGTATCTTGGAATGATGATGGATTGCTTTTGTTCCAGCGGAGGATTGTGGTTCCTCGAGGTCCGTTGATAGAAGAGGTTATGGAAGAAGGCCATAAAGGTCAGTTTTCTATCCACCCTGGTGCTACTAAGATGTATCAAGACTTGAAGAAGAATTTCTGGTGGCCGGGAATGAAGAAGGACATAGCTGTGTTTGTGTCCAAGTGTTTGATCTGCCAGACGGTGAAGATTGAACACCAGAAGCCGTCTCATAAACTTCGGCCTCTTGAGATTCCAGAGTGGAAATGGGAGAGCATTTTCATGGACTTCGTTGTGGGTTTTCCGAAGACTCAGGTTGGCTGTGACTCGATATGGGTCATTGTGGACAGATTGACAAAGTCTGCCCATTTCCTTCCAGTGAAGGTGAGCTTCACTACAGAGCAGTTGGCCAGATTGTATGTTCGCGAGATTGTGAGGCTTCACGGGGTGCCCGTGAGTATCATCAGTGATAGGGACTCGAAGTTCACATCTCGGTTCTGGGAGGCGCTGCAGGGAGCTTTTGGTACGCAGTTGAGACTGAGTACAGCCTATCACCCTCAGACTGATGGACAGACTGAGCGGACTATCCAGACCTTAGAGGACATGTTGCGGGCTTGCACGTTGGAGCAGGGCTCGGCATGGGATAGGTACCTTCCATTGGTAGAGTTTTCTTATAACAACAGTTTCCATGCTAGCCTGGGCATGGCACCCTACGAGGCGCTCTACGGTAGGAGGTGTCGTACACCTACCTGCTGGTCGGAGGTTGGGGATCATGAGTTGTTTGGCTTGGATTTTGTCCAAGATACCACCCTGCAAATCCAGATGATCAGGGAAAAGCTGAAGCAGACGCAGAATCGTCAGAAGAGCTACTGCGATGTCAAGTATCGACCACTGGAGTTCAGTGAGGGTGAGCACGTGTTTGTGAGACTTTCACTTGTCACCGGTGTTGGACGGGCACTCGGAGTGAGGAAGCTGAGCCCGCGCTTTATTGGGCCATACCAGATTCTTGGTAGAGTAGGACCTGTTGCCTACCGGCTTGCCTTGCCCCCGAACCTGGCCAACATCCACGACGTGTTTCACGTGTCTTAGCTTCAGAGGTACTGGCTTGGAAAAGTGCGTACCGGAAAAATGCTCAGAAAATTATAAGAAAAATATGATAAATCTTAGAAAATTATGTAGTCTCATAATCCAAAATTTGGGATTAAAATGCTAAGCGTAGCAATTAAAGTTAATACTGTGTGTTAACCTTTAAGTGGGCTATTTAAGCCTTAGTGGGCACTAAACCCTAGGCCATATTGCTTTCTCTACGTGAGTGTGTGAGGGTGGCTGATCAGCTTGGCTGCTCCTTGGGGTTTCTTCTCCATTTTGTGTCCAAGACACTTCCTTTCTTGATTCTCTTCACCTCCAAACACTTGAGCCTTGTGTGAGTGGCCTTGTGAGTATGTAGAGAGCTGGTGTTCTAAGTTGGGAGGCTGTTGGGAGTCAGCTTTGAGGGCTGAGTTGGAGAGTTGAGTGGTGGGAACCTTGGAGTTGGCTTGTTAAGCTTCAAGGTGTGTTCTTTGTGGAGAAAGGACCAACCTTCAACTTACATTTTCGTGTGCAGAGAGAGACAGAACCTTGGAGTGACCTTTTGAGCTCCAAGAGCACCTCTTGTTGGCTGATTGAGTTTTGGTAAGCCTTGTCACCTTTGGTCTTGAGTCTTTGAACTTAAAAATGAAAGCTTGATGCATGTTAAGGCTTAAAGATGATAACTTGTTGTGGGGTAATGTTGAACACACCTAGAAATGCATGTTTAGGTGCTTTAAATCGTTAAAAACCCAACCTTGGAAGGATATCTTCACGAAATGCGTTTTCTGCATTCTGTCGTGAAATATCCGGATATGTGCCCGATGAATATACGGATATGTGATATCCGGATATGGGTTTTGAGTATCCGGATATGGGATTCTGGATATCCGGATATTGCATATCCGGATACGTCCAGTGAGATATCCGGATATTGCATATCCGGATATGGTCCCGAGGAATATCCGGATATTCTGGAATTTCGTAGAACAGTAGCTGCGCTGTGTCTACAGTAGGCTATTGGGGGTTTGTGGACCCTAGATTGATGAAGTTGAACTTCTGTTTTAATTAAACTAAGTCAGAATCAAGTGATTAAGGACTTATGGCTTGGTATGGAGCCTTAAGACGTAAAACGTAAGGAGAGGCGTTGTCTTTAAGTTATATGCTTGTGTTGCATTATTATTGATATAGTATTGGTCCATAACAGATTGTGAATCTGCTGTGTTTGGACTTTGAGCTGTGGACTCTTGGCTTTTGGAGTTAGCTTGCAAGGTAAGCTTTCGTGTCCTCGGTTTAGCTATGTTGTGGTTCCACCATGTCCCATGGGGGTATGGTTTATACATGTTGTGTACATGCTTTTGGATATTTGATATGTTGATTGAACTTTACATGTAATGGCTTTTAATATGCATGTGTTGTTTCATCTTGACGGGAAGCCTGAGTATGTAGCGCCATACAAGACGGTGTACCGGGGTGAATGCAAGTGGTACTTGCACGGTGTGTAGGTGATAGACGTATACCTGCACTGTCTCTGGCCAGTAGATTAGTATTGACACACATGACATGATTATCTGCTGCATTGCATTGTTTTAGAAATGATAAAAGATAAACTGCTTTTGAACTTATATTGCACATGTAAGTGAGCTTGGGGTGGAAGATCCTTGAGGACTCACTGACTTACTGAGATTTCTAGATTAGAGATCTTACCCCACGTTCGGGGAATGCTTATTTCAGGATCAGGTAGTATGGGTACTGATTCCTCAGGCGGCAGGAGGCCGGAGCTTAGCTGATTATGTTTTACTGCTTACATTAGCATGACTGGATTTGGATGCTATTTATGTTTTCCGCTATTTATGATATGTTGTTGTTGAGACTGATGTTGGGCATGTTGCCTTATTTGAGTGAGCATGGGGATTGTCCATGACACTTTCTGTTAGTACTTGTAGTTTGGAGTTGTATAAACTGTTAGATGGTCCGGTCTACGTTGTTTTAGTTCCGTGACTAGAGCCACACTTATATTATCTATGTTATGAGGTATTTCAGTTAGCTGTTTTATTGCAATTATATACAGGCGATGTTTTATTAATTGATTATTAAGCAAGTTGGTAATGTTAATGGCATCATAATTGAAAAGAAAAAAAAGTAATTCCACATTTTAATTAAGCGCAGCTTAATACGATATTATGATAACATTACCGGATATATACGGGGTGTTACACACGGTGCTGCTGTAGCCTTCCTGAAGCAATATTTTATCTGTGCAGAATGTAGGTCTAATTCCTTTTATGTCTACAATGCTCCATCTGAGGGCTGTTTTATGCTCCTTTAGTACTAGTAGCAACTGCTCCGTTTCTGCATCAGAGAGAAAAGATGAAATAATAACAGGTAAAGTATTTTCATCTCCCAAATATGCATATTTAAGATGCTGGGGCAGTGGTTTGAGCTCAAGGATTGGAGGTTCTTCTATAGATGGCTTGAGTGTCTTTATCACTCTTTCTCCAAGAGACTTAAAGTGTCTCTCTTTGTATGGCCTTATTGGTTGGGATTCTATCCATGCAAGGCATTCCTTCATCTCTTCTTCATTTTCTTCACATTCCTATGCTATAGCAACATTCAGTGGTTCTGTCTCTGTTTGCTGCTTGAGTTGCTGTAACAGAACTGCATCAATAGTGTCCATGCTAGTGCATTCTTCCACTTGTTCAGGATACTTCATGGCTTTGAGTACATTGAATGTAACTTGCTCATCATTGACTCTCATAGTCAAGTCTCTTTTCTCAACATCAATCACTGCTCGTCCTATGGCTAAGAATGCTCTTCCCAAAATGATGGGTACTTCCCTATCTGCTTCAAAGTCAAGAACAATAAAGTCAGTGGGAAAAATGAATTTATCCACCCTTACCAACACATCTTCAATTTTTCCTTCTGGATAAGTCAATGATCTATCAGCCATTAGTAACGTGACAGTGGTTGGACGTGCTTCTCCTCTTCCAAGCTTCCTAAAAATACTTTTAGGCATAAGGTTAATACTTGAACCTAAATCTAATAATGCATTACCTACATATTGGTTACCAATAGTACAAGGAATAGTAAAACTCCATGGATCCTTAGGCTTTGGTGGTAACTTGTTGAGGTAGTATTGACTACTTTCTTGGGTGAGAGCTACTGTCTCATATTCCTCTATCTTCCTCTTCCTTGCCAAGATGTCCTTCATAAATTTTGCATAACTTGGCATTTGCTCAAGAGCTTCAACCAAGGGTACATTAATATGCAACTGTTTTAGAACATCAAGGAACTTTTTGTACTGCTTGTCATCAGTTTGCTTCTGCAATCTTAGAGGAAAGGGAGATGGTGGTCGTGTTGCTTTGCTGACAGTCTGATCTTGTTGTGGCTTTGCTATAGCAATATTCTCAGTGCCAGCAACTTGAGGTTCTTTGAGTTAATCATGATTTTCCTCCTCTTCAGCAACTTTATCTTCTTCATTCTGATTCAATGCCTTCTGCTTCTGCTCATGGTAGTTCTTTATGACTTCTGGCTCATCTACGGTTTTACCACTCAGTAATGATATAGCATTGACCTGTTCTTCTCCATTCTTCTTTGGAACTTCAGTGTTGCTTGGCAAGGTTCCTTGAGGTCTGCTTCTGATTGCTTCTGCCAATTGACCTAGCATTGACCTGACTCCAAACTTGTTATACTAGTCCTAGATATTATTCTAGTGATATATACATATTTTTCATAATTTTCTGAGATACTTTATCGGTACACATTTATACCGTGAGGCAGAACCGATATTTGCACTTTTCGTCAGAAAAACGACTTTCAGCATTATTAATCACTTACTATAATTATTTAAGCCTTCTCATAATTATTAGATCAATTATGGAATTATCTCATTAATCTCATATTTAATTAATTAAATTCCTAAATTAACGGTGCGGGTTCTTACAGTTTGGAGATATTTAGGTGAAGAAATCTTAGATAGAAGTGAGAGAGTTTTCAAAATTTAAAATTTAGAGAGAGAGAGAAGGTGAGGAGGGGCGCTTATCAGCAAGGAAGGAAGAGAGGAGGGTGCCCTAATGAGGGGGTGTCATGTCACTTTAGTGGCTTTTGTCCTTTAGTGGGACCCGGTGTAATTTTTAACTGAACCGTCGTTAAATTTTTACCCGAAAACTCCCAAGACTCTAACTTTAAGTACTTAACATTAATTTTGTCTAATTATCATGTTCATAACTTAAAAATTTGATTGGTAGATCACAGATCCACTAATAGTGTTTTAATTGCACTATAAGCTTTACCGGTGTTCTTAACTATACCCGGATTTCATAATTGTAAGAACTCGCACCATTAATTAAGGTATTTAATTAATTAATTATGTGAAAATAGTAAATGATTCCATAATTGACCCTAACAATTATTATGAGGCTTTAATAATTATAGTAAGTGATTAATAATGTTGAAAGTCTCTTTTCGGAAGAAAAGTGCAGATACTGGTTCTGCTAGTCAGTATAAATGCGAATCGAAAAAGTATCCCGGAAAATTATATTAAGTGCTTGATAATTACTAGAATAATATGTAGGACTTGTAAAACGAGTTTCAAGTCCAAATCATGAGAACTAGTGCTAGAAATCGGTACTGGCTTTGAAAAGCGCGTACCGGAAAGGTGCTCAGAAAATTCTAAGAAAAATATGTTAATTCTTGGAAAAATGTGTAGTTTCAGATTCCAAAGTTTGGGATTAAAATGCTAAGCGTAGCAATTAAAGTTAATATTGTGTGTTTAAACGTTAAGTGGCTATATATAGGCTTGTTAGCACAAAACCCTAGGCCATAACACATTTTCTACGTGAGTCTTGGGGCTGGCCAACTGCTGAGTACTGTTCCATTGTTTTTCCTCTTCCATTTCTTGAGCTTTGAGGAAACTTCCTTCACAAATCCTTCTCCTAAACACTTGGTGTGGATGAGAGTAGCTTTGGGGCTGTGTTGTTGACCTTGTTCTGTGTTGGGGTTGCTGTTTGTGAATGTTGGAGGGGCTGTCCTCTTGAGTTGAGGTGGTGAGAGTCTTGTTCTTGGCTTGTGAAGCTCCAAGGAGCTTCCTTTGTGTTGAAAGGGCCAAGCTTTGGTAGCTTTTTCGTGTACCCTTCAAGTCAGACTTGGAGAGGCAGAGTGTGGAGCTCCAAGAGCCTTTGCTTCTCTGTTTTGAGCTTTGGTGAGTTGTACCTACCTTGAGCTAGTGTTTTAATGGGTTAAAGGTGTGATCTTTGCATGTTTAATGAGTTAATCAAGTAACAAACTGGGGTGTGGACCTTAATCAATATAAAGATGTATGCTTTAACGTAATTAAGTGTTATAAATGGACCACTGGGATTGATATCTCGCGAAATGCAAAATCTGCATTCTGACGCGAAATATCCAGATATTTGGTTGTAAATATCCGAATATGTGATATCTCGATATTTGGTTGTAAACATCCGGATATCTGATATCCCGATATTTGGTTGTAAATATCCGGATATCTGATATCTCGATATTTGGTTGGAAATATCCGGATATCGGATATCCCGATATTTGGTTGGAAATATCCGGATATCAGATATCCCGATATTCAGTTGGAGATATCCCGATATTTTGGTCTGGACAACAACGAACCTGTTTTAGTAAAAATTCAATATCTTGGGCTACAGAGCTCCAAATTGAGTGCCGTCTGGACCTATGTGATGCTAACACCTAGGGCTACAACTCTATAAATTTTCGTAGCCATTGGATCAGTGGTTTGATCTCAGTGTCTATTATAAGTCGCATTTTGGTTGCTGGAAATTCTGTTTATAATGGTAAAATATTGGAATATGAATATTGATATAATTGTTGGTCTAAAACAGATTGTGATTGTGCTGTTTGTGGACCTCGAGCTAGTGTGGACCTTGGTTTGGGTTTTTAGCTTGCGAGGTAAGCTTTCTTGTCCTCGGTTTAGCCATGTTGTGGTTCCACCATGTCCTATGGGGGTATGTTATATGCATGTTGTGTTACATGCTTTGGATATTTGAAATGCTGTTGAGCTTTATGTGTAATGGCTTTTAATATGCATGTGTTGTTCCATCTTGACGATAAGCGTGAGTATGTGGCGTCATACAAGACGGTGATCCGGGGTGGATGCAAGTAGCGTCTTGCACTATTTGTGGGTATTGGACGTATATAAATCCTGCATTTCTCTGGCCAGTAGAATAGAATTGACACACATGACATGATTATCTGCTGCATTGCACTATTTTAGAACTGATAATGATAAACTACTTTTGAACTTATATTGCACATGTAAGTGAGCTTGGGGTGGAAGATCCTTGAGGACCCCTTGTCTTACTGAGATTTCTTGTTTAGAGATCTCACCCCACGTTTGGGGAATGCTTATTTCAGGTTCAGGTAGTATGGTGACTGATGCCTCTGGCGGCAGGAGGCTAGAGCTTGGCTGATTATGATATTATGTTGTATTGCTGCCATGACTGGATTTGGATGCTGTTTATGTTTTCCGCTATGTATGTTTATGTTGTTGTTGAGACTGATATTGGGCGTGTTGCCTTATTTGAGTGAGCATGGGGATTGTCCATGACACTTTATGTTAGTACTTTTAGATTGGAGTTGTATAAACTGTTAGATGGTCCGGTCTACGTTGTTGTAGTTCCGTGACTAGAGCCACACTTTTATTATCTATGTTATGAGGTATTTCAGTTAGCTGTTTTATTGCAATTACATACAGGCGATGTTTTATTAATTGATTAATAAGCAAGTTGGTAATGATAATGACATCATAATTGAAAAGAAAAAGATATTCTGCATTTTTAATTAAGCGCTGCTTAATACGATAGTATGATAACATTACCGGATATATACGGGGTGATACATTTATGGTATCAGAGCAATGGTTCGAGGGAAAAGCCTGTATGTATTGCAATATTTAAGATGTTTGGTTGTGTCTGTCTTGTGTGTTTACTCCGTCGAATTTTATTATGATACTGCATATGTAATCGCATTGCGTGGGCCTGATCAACTCATAATTTCTGTAACTTGTGCAGAGTCATGGTAAGGTCCGGGAGAACACGAGAGACTTATGAGGATCAACCCGATCCTATCCTGACCGCATTGGCTGAGATGCAGGCGGCTAGGTTAGCCGATCAGGAGGCCACTAGATTGGCCAACGCGACAATGATGGATGTTGTTCGCGAGGCGAACCGGATAGCCGCAGAAGAGGTTCGTGAAGCGAACCGGAGGACCACTGAGGATGTCCTCGAGGCGAACAGGATGGCGAACATGACGATGATGAGAGTCATGTTGGAGGAGATGAGGGCTGGTCCTGCTGTAGGCCAGGCACCACCGCCACCATCGCCGCCGCCTCCACCTAGTGTTCAGGATGAGAGCCTGAGTCACATTGGCAGTGCTGCTCAAGTCGCTGAGACGAGGGAGACTCTGGTAGAGCATGCTGAGGATCGTGATGTGATAGATCGCCGGCTGAATTCTTTCAGGAAGCATAAGCCACCTGTGTTTGAGAGGTCTTTGGATCCTATTGCTGCTGCGAGATGGCTGGAGTCGCTAGACAAGATATTTCGGGTCATGCAGTGTACAGATCCGCAGAAGCTGATGTTCTCGACTTACATGCTGGAGGGCGATGCCCATGAGTGGTGGACGAACACCTCTCGTGCTTATGAGATGCAGGGTCGTGTTTTGACATGGCCATTCTTCTAGGAGTGTTTCTTGGGCAGATACTTTCCCTATGATGCGCAGGAGAGGAAGCATGGGGAGTTTGATAGATTGGTCCAGGGCTCGATGACTGTTGATGAGTACCTGGCCAAGTTCAATGAGCTAGTGAAGTTTGCGCACTTCCGGATGGTTCCTCCTACTCCGATGTTTCTGGTTGCTAAGTTCCGTAGAGGACTTAGTGAGGTGATTGCTGAGCATTTAGCTGGAGCTGCTTCGAGAGACTTTGGTACACTGGTTCAGCAGTGTAAGGACATTGAGGATGTCTGCATAGCGAGTAAGGCCAAGAGGGCCAAGGTCGACGAGACCAAGGGGACTGTTGGTTCCACTCCTGTTACTACGTCCTGGAAGGACAAGAGGTTTGCTGGGAAAGGCAAGGGTAAACAGTTGGCGACTAGGCATACGTCTGGTCAGTTCAAGAGGACTGCTTCACAGCAGGAGAGTTTTGCTAGTCCTCATTCCACTCCGAGATGTGCGGGGTGTGGAAAGGAGCATGTGGGACGTTGTGCTTCGGGGCAGTTGGTTTGTTTCCAGTGTGGCAAGGAGGGCTACTTTTCTAGAGACTGTCTGTCGTCGACGGCGAGAGCTGCAGCTGTTCAGGCAGTTCCTTTACAGATGGTTCCGATGGCTTCTACTTCGGCACCTGCAGTGCCACCTTCTGTTGGGCGTGTGTACACCTTGGGTAGGCAGCAGTCGGACCGCGCTCCGAACCTTGTTAGAGGTACTGTGTCTATTGGTGGTATTGTTGTTGATGCATTGTTTGACTCTGAGGCTACGCATTCGTTTGTTGCTACCCCGATTGCTTTGGGGCTTGAGTTGCCCATGTCTGTGCTTTCTCCACCGTTGCGGGTGACTACCGCCACCGGAGAAGTTTGTGATTCTACCACTGTACATCGCAATGTAGCGTTTCAGTGGGATGGTCGTGAGTTC